ACACATGTATGCATATGTTTGTGTTTGCAGGGTTGTTTTTGAACTTTAATGTTTATAGTCGACACACTGGAGTCGATATTTAATATAAAGCATGTTCCACATTATAGGAACTTCGTTATCCCGGACGAGCCCCCAAAACCGATGATTATCTGTGTTGCCAGATTTCACAGTTTCTGAAGAAATTGTGCAAAATTTTGGGAGGTTGTAAAATTCTTATTTGAATTATTTGAATAATTTTTATTATTATTATTATTATTTTTAATAATAATAATAATAGTAGTATTACTATTTTTATTATTATTATATACAAATAGAAGTAAATATGAATTAAAATATATACATTTGTTTGTTACTTAACTAAATATACAAATAATAATTTTTTTATTACGACAGAGGGACCAAAAATACAATTCTTTAAAATTTTGAAATAATTATTTTGATTAATAGAGTATGGGTTTATTTTTCCTCCCTTGTGTGTGTGTGTGTGTGTGTGTGTGTGTGTGTGCGGATTAAAGCAGCTCTGATTGCAATCAGTCACTATGATGAGGCTTGTGAAAAGCTAATTATCATCATGACTGAATTCCCTCTATAAATGTGCTCATAAGCAGAAGCTTGTTTCACCAATGTTTTCAAGGTGACCCTGATACACACACACTGAACTCCTTAGTCCACAGTGAAAGTGAGCATATTTACCTGCTGACCCTGTCTTTAAGATGCGTTGTACAACAGATGTCAGTGTTTTTTATTCTTTTAATCTAATATATTTAATAATGAGGCGGCACGGTGGCTCAGTGGTTAGCACTGTTACTTCACAGCAGAAAGGTCGCTGGTTCGAGTGAGTCAGTTGATATTTCTGTGTGGAGTTTGCATGTTCTCCCTCTGTTGGCATGGATTTCCTCCGGCTGCTCCGGTTTCCCCCACAGTCCAAACACATGCGCTATAGGGGAATTGATGATCTAAAGTGGCTGTAGTGTATGAGTGTGTGTGGGAGTTTTCCAGTCATGGGTTGCAGCTGAAAGGGCATAAGCTTTGTAAATATATGGTGGAATAGTTTGACTGTAGAACTGTATATATTCATACTATTAGTAAACAAGAAACAGTCGTAAGGGCAGAAATGAATCACACAGCCTGCACTGAAGTACTTCTGATATCACCGAACATTATTTGTGAGCATATTTAAGCAACACAGTTAAAGTGAAATCTGTAATTTCTTCATTTCATTTGGTTCAGGTCTTTAAATGTTGCTCTGAGGCGCTTAGAGATAATATAAGTTTCCAGTAAAAAGCCTGTGCTGTTGATCTGGATAATGAGCTGTTTGTTGAGAGGTATGGCAGAAAGGTTTCAGTGTGAATGAGTTCCAGTGCTGTGGCAGTGGTTTGATATTTTTTGCTTTACTGTGGAGTTTTGCATTAAATGAGGAGGCTTTTCCTTCTTGATGATTTCGCTGCTTTCGTGATTTGCGCTTTGGGGTTTGTGTCGTCCTGAAATCCCCAGTAGGTGATGAGAGTGGCTGCTTTTGTAATTAGTTCTGCTTGCAGAAAATTGGGTCACTAATTAGCATGAGGAGGGGGGGTTTGTTCATTTTATTTATTTATTTATTTATTTATTTATTTATTTATTTATTTATTTATTTATTTATCTATCTATCTATCTATCTGTCTGTCTATCTATCTATCTATCTGTCTGTCTATCTATCTGTCTATCTGTCTGTCTATCTATCTGTCTATCTATCTATCTATCTGTCTATTTGTCTATCTATCTATCTGTCTATCTATCTATCTATCTATCTATCTATCTATCTATCTATCTATCTATCTATCTATCTATCTATCTATCTATCTATCTATCTATCTATCTGTCTATCTGTCTATCTATCTATCTATCTATCTATCTATCTATCTATCTATCTATCTATCTATCTATGCATTTATTTTTTTAATTATTGATTTATTTGCATCTGTACATTAATTATGCATTTTTTTATTTATGCATTTATTTATGTACTTATGCTTTTATTTATACATTTATTTTTTGCATTAATTAATTTATTTATG